GTGGTGACTGTTGAGTGAATTCCCATGATAGTTGAGTGAATTCCCATGGCAAGGTTCTCCTGAGACAGATAGGGTGCCAGTTGGGCCCAGCATAGATGGTAAAACACATTCTTTGTCACCAAGGACAAATTGTACTAACACATCATTGGACAGCCACATTAACTTCAGTGGTTACTGCTGAGATTAGTAAATTGTCAGGTAAAATACATTGCAGGAAATACTCGTGCTTGTGGAATTAACTAAAAATGTATTTCATATGGAACACTCAATGTACTACTGGAAAGGCATAGAATTGGATACGGATATCCCAGTTTGCTTATGACAGAGTTTTCCACAAGCAGGACACACTTCTTGCACCTGTGGAGCGTGAGGCCCCTTGCACTGGAGGAAGGCTCCCAGAGCCAGAGGAAAGTGTTGTAGCGCAGTGGAGTCATAGGGTTCCTCCACCCCATTCCCCCCCCATTTAATTAGGACACTAACATTATTTTTAAAACTGTATTTTCTCTTTAATGTTATTAGTGATCCTGAGTCAGTATATTCCATCCCTGTGTGATGGAGTGTTGTTTGAGAACGGTTTTCCTTCCGGGGACTATTTTTGTTTGCTTGCTTGCTTGTCCTTGTTGTTTTACAAACATCAGAAAGGAAGTGCAGTCCAGCACTGGAGGAGGAAGGGGAGGCACACAGCCTTCTTCAGAACATGATAAAACACAGGTTCAAATATGATATTATATTCCCGAGGGAGATGAGAATTGATCCTCTTGGTTCGGGTTGCCAGGTCCACCTGGATGTGAAATCGTAACACTCCAGTTTTTGGGCAAAACTCTGTGGTTTATAGGCGATGTGTCCACTTCTGGCCAGTTCAGGGCGGGATTCCCCCCGGGGGTTCTGGCAACCCTCATCAAATCACGGAGCACAAATGTGTGAAGTAATTAGTCATGAATGTCCAGGGTGTGTTTGTTTATTTATTTAGAATATCTCTATGCCACCTCTTCAGAGTCCTGCTCGAGGCAGCTTACAATTAAAAACCACAGCATAAAAAGTAAGCAATGAAAAAACAAGCCATTAGACATAAACAGCATAAAAACTGTCCATGAAAGAGAAGAGACCATTAAAAAGCTGAAAAGATAAAACCTCTAATTAAAAGGTTGGGTAAAAAGATGTGCTTTAACCTGCTGCCTGGCAGATAGTAAAGTAGGCACCAGATGAGCCTCAAGGGAGGGAGGCTGTTCCAAAGGCAAGGTGCCACCAAAGAAAATGTCGTCTCCCCTTGAAGGCTGGGGCACGTAGCCGGGCTTGAGAAGCCGATCTTAACTGGTAGTCCGACTAGTATGGGAGTATGAATAGTATAGTATGCATATAGTATACTAATAGTATAGTATGAAAACTCTGAATATTTAGAGGACAAGAAATAATAATCCAAGCTAGGGTCCTGCAAGGACTCTCCTTCCCACCTACCAGCCAATCTACCTTTATCTTGAGCTTCCCATCCTTCTTTCCTCCCACTGTGTCTCCCCAGATGAACTGTGGCCCTGTTGTGTGGTGCCGGCCACTGGTCTAGGCTTGGCCCGGTGGCATGGTAGAGAACCTGCAAGGACTTGTGGGGGATATCTGTCAGGTAGCCCTGTCATAGATCTGGAATGTGGAGGGGTACACTGCCTTCTCGTTCCCAGATCATCCCTATCCAGCTTCTGTGCACTATCTCTAGCTTGATCTTATTGTTGTTCCCAGCTGCAATTAACTTGGCTGGGAAAGCTAACGGTTTCTGAGCTTTGCCTGCTCGCTTGCTTGCTTCAGCCCACGCGTGTGTGAAATATAACCATTGGCTTCAGCTTATTGGGGGGGGGGGATTTTGATTATACTATAAGTCAAAGGCCATTATATTACAGGCCATTCCTGACACAAGCTGTAAACGTGTTCTTTAGTACTGGACTACCAGTAAACACTTATCTTCTTAAGAAGCCTTGTGTGGTGTGCCCTGACTAAGGAGCCTGACAATATCTCAATTTCCTCTGTATCCCCCTTCCCACAATATTTCCTGTTTCCGTCCTGGCAGCCCCTATAGCCTCAACTTTCCTTGCTTCCTTCTCCTCTTCCCACCCACCAGGCAACTTACCTCCCCCCCCCAATACTTCATTTATTCCTCCCCTTTCTCCCCAGTGGGGACCCAAACCAGCTTACATCGTTCTCCTTTCCTCCATTTTTATCCTCTAAATAACACTGTGACATAAGTTAGGCTGAGAATTTGTAACTGACCCAAGGTCACCCAGCGAGCTTCCAGGGCAGAGTGGTGGTTTGCTTTCACCTCCCTCACAGGGAGCCAAGCTTTGTAATAGAATCTGGCCTCACCTAACAAATGCACAAGAGAGGTATACATGTCCTTAGAGTATAGGAAGTCACTGACAGGAGGGAGGTCAAGGAGGTGATTTGCTTCTTGAAACGTTTTCTTATAAGACAAATTTGCAGTTGTTTTTTGCTTTTTCTGAGCATGCATTTATTTGTAATTTAAATTTATAGACTGCCCTCCCCTGAATGCACAAGGCTCAGGGCAGTGAACAAGAATGATGATACAGTAATGATGATAAAAACAGTCTACATAATACATCCTCCGGTATATATAGTTCTATTTTGGTCATGGACTCCCCTGAACATTCCAACATGATCCAAAATCAGTTCGCTCTCTGATCTGTCATTCAGAGGGTCTCCCTATCCACTGGCTGCTTTGCCTGAGTCCTGCCTCTGACATTCTCAACAGTTTGCTCTTCCTCTCCCCCACCCCACAGCCAGTCAGAACACAGAGGTCATTTGCATATGTGGCCTGATTCGCCTTTGCCTTGGAACACAGAGGTCGTTTGCATATGCGGCCTCACTGGCTTGGCATTATTCCCTGCTAAGGTCCCCATCCCAAACCCTGCCCTCCCCAGGCTCTACCCCTCAAATCTACAGGTATTTCCCAACCCAGAGTCGGCAACCGTGTAATTGGCTATGGAACCACTTTCCAGACCCTTGAAAACCAGAAAACGTGGCATAGGAGGAGGTGCTTTTCTACCTTAGCTGTGACTACATAGCCCCACATTATAACCCAACCTCCAGGCGGCACCTGGAGATCTTCAGCTATTAACACTGATGTCCAGATGACCAAAATCAGTTCTCCTGGACACGGCTGCTTTGGGCAGTGGATTCTATGGCATTATACCCTGCTGAGGTCCCTCCGCACCCCAAACCCTGCCCTCCCCGGACTCTACCCCTCAAACCTACAGGTATTTCCCAACCCAGAGTTGGCAACTGTGTCATCAGCTACGGAACCACTTTCCAGACCCTTGGAACCCAGAAAACGTGGCACAGGAGGAGGTGCTTTTCTACCTTAGCTGCCACTGCAGAACACCCCCCTCCCCCTCAAAAAATAAGTCAGAGGTGGAGAGAACCATACCTGTCACCATGAGGCTGTCCTCCCATTCTACCCACTTGGGGCAGCAAAATGACTTGAGACAGCCCTGCCTTATAGCTAAGCAGAAGGAAAGAGACATGGCTTGCCTCCCTCCATTTTCCGCTTCCCTCTGCCGCCCCACCAGCCACAGTCGGGACACTCACCTGGAGCTTCCTTCTAGATCTCGTTGTATTTCTTCCCACAACGGGCATTACTCCTAGTAATTACATAATTTAAACATTCCCAGATGACGCTAAAACATCAGAATTTCAAATTGTGTCACTGCCTCGCGGGGGAGGTAGAGAAGAAGGGTGTGGGGAGTGCCAGAAGAAGGGTACCTGTCACTGTCCTCAGCCCAAAGCCTGGCAGAACGTCTCTGCCTCGCACGCCCTGCAGAACTGCACTGGGTCCCACAGGGCACAGATGTTATTCAGCAGAGAGGTCTACTAGGTGGGAGCCAGGACTGAAAAGGCCCTGGCCCTGGTCGAGGACAGCCGGGCGTCTTTCGGGCGTAAGCAATACAACATGCATGTGATTCGGGCGTAAGCAATACAGGCTTGTTTAGCTCTCATTCCACCTTGATTAAAACTTAGTAGGGCCTCTAAGGGACAATATCTCTTGGTGGGTTAGCTCTGGTCCATGAACCGTGAGTTGGCCATCTCTGATCTAAGGCATGTGGCTGGACTCCAGGAAGTGTGGCTTTAATCCATACTCTGGTGATAGCCAAATACTGCCTTAGCTTCACTTTTCCCCTTAGCTGAACATGGAACATTTATGGGGGGAGGAGGGACGACTGCCTCTTGTGTGTATATCAAGTGTGGGAGAAGTTATAGGCCTGGTCTTGATAGACGTGATTCTCCTCTCTGCAGTGCACTGTGAACCTGACCCCCCTGAGGTTGTGTTCCTACCCACTGAACTAAAGGTGCTAAATGACGCAGATCATTTCCATCTTCAGCGTACAGATCGTTACCTTCCAGGAAACGCCTCCCTAAGCTCTCGCTCGGAGACATTCCTTTTCCTCCACCGTCGCCTCGCAGCAAAACCCACCATCCAAGCTACCTATCTGCCTTTCACTGCCCAACAGGTAATTACTTCTTCCAGCTATGAGGAGGAAACTCCTCAGTGTGTAAGGAATGGATCATAGCCTTAATTGTTCTAAGAGGAGCTTCACCACAGAACTCAGTCTTTCTCTCACTCTAGGCAGTACCAGCTGACAGCTCCCAAATCCAAGATGTCTCTGTTGCCTGGGATGTCCGCGCTGTGTCAATTGAAGGCACAGTGTCTCCTTACGAGCCATACGCCAGGGTCCTCTTCCACCTCCAGGGACAGGATTGGATGTCAGAACAGCAGGCCCTGCCATGTGTCACCCTGCATGTCTTCCACCAGGCCCAGGCTGTCCGCAGAGCCTGCCACCTCCAGGTTGGTGCTGCCTGCATGAGTAGCTCTTCTGTCTGCGAAGCAGTGAGGTTGCTGGCACTGGGAAGCCTCAGGAAGCGAATTGGGGCTTAGAAGGGTCGCAAGTCTTGGGCAAGGTTGCGATGAGTAAATCTAAGCTCTGTAGAAGAGGATCAAAGTGCCAGATGACGAAATGGGAGTGAGATGTGCTTATGAGAGTGATTATTTTGCTAACAAGACCTGGTATACAGGGACATTGTGTGGGATTCCATTCTTTGGAGAAGCTGCAAAGTAAGGAATGGATGAACACCTGTCTGGCATGGATTAAGTTTAAGAACCTCTCCTGCTCCAGGTGACACATGACTTGTTTTTCAGTTCTGTAACTCTTGGGCAGGGATAGCATCCATTCAATAATATGTCTCTTCTTTTAATGGCTATATAAAATAGTGGCTGTTTAAAGGGTAGCTTATTATGCTGTAGTTTTTGAGATGTGAGAAAAGCTGCACATCCCAACATTTCTTGTTATGCATTAAAACTAGGGATCCTTCTGTTCTATTGGATGATTCTTTCTACTGCATGAAACCAGCTCTTTTTAATATGGACATTTTTAGTTCCAATGTTGGGGAAAATATTCTTATTTTTAAAAAATTAACAGATTTCTGGGTGTTTCAAATGTCTGTAGGTAAAACAAATGTTTCTGTTTCCAAAATATGCAGGGTGTTTGTGTGTGTTAAATCCACACATACCTGTCAGTGTCATAAGCAAAATTGAATATACTTCCTGAAACAATTTCCACTTGGAACACAAATTAAAAAAAGATTTTAAAATTTCACAATAAGAAAATCAAAACATCAACCGATTCTGGGCCTGAAGTGTATGGGGTTTGCATGTGGGGAAGTGTATGAATTCCACCTTTGCACTTTACCTGTAAGTGGAAAACTTAAATGCACCATTGATTGACACAGTGCATTCTGCAGTGGGTGAAGGTGCCTGCCAGGATGTGGGTTTGAATGGGAAAGGATATATTCTGTGAATGGTGGGGAAAGTTACACTTGATATAAGGCCTTTGGGAGTACCTGGGTGATTCTCTAAGTCACTGAACTCAGGAAGATCCTCCAAGTTCTCCCAAAGAACCGATCCAAGTTGCTTGTGAAAGAACTTACCAGGGTGAGGTGAAGTTAGAATGGTTGAGGAAAGATTTGCAAAAAGAAAATGGGCCACTGCACAAAGACCCATATTTCACTGGTAGAGCCACATGCATTTTGTAGAGAAGGTCTCAGTACATTCTCATATGCAGTTAAAAGAATTTCTGATAGCTGGGCTAAAGCAGACTTCCCTGAAATTTCTGAGAGCCTCCGTTGGTCAGAGCAGAGGTTCCTAGCCTAGATAGACCAATGCTCTGACTAAGAAAGGTTTTAAGGGTTTGTTTGTCTTCAGGAGGTGCTTAAGGGGAGGCAAAGGAAGTGACTTGACTCTCTCTGCTTTTCATGACCAGGCACCCTTGGGTGTGTGTGTAGTAGAACTAGAGCTTCCCCCTCACTGGTTCTCCCCGACACCCCCCATGAGCCAGCATGGATCGGAGGATTCCCCAATCACTCCTCAGCGAGCGGAGCTGTACTATGCTCTGGAGCCTGTACTGCCTGGGAATGCACCGGCAGAGTGTGCCCATGCAAGGCCCCGGGAAGAACTACGACTGGCTCCTGAGGGCACCAAGGAGCAGCTGAACTACGTTGGTCCTGTGGACATCAGAGTGATGAGCCCACCACGACGCCAGGAAGTTCGGCTGGATGACAACGTGATGGTCCGAGTTCCTGACATGGCACTGCGCCCAGGGCAGCTCTTCACTGCCACCCTCATCCTGCAGCAGAACTTCACTGCTGATTTGCTGATGCTTCGGTGAGTTAAGGAGGCTATATTGTGGTGGTTTGATTTCTGTCAGAACTTAACTGATTCCAGTGAATTTCAGAGAAGCTTGATTTTCAGGAAAAAGTCTTCAGGGTCTTCTCTGTGATTCAAGCTTCCCTCAGTTTCAGATGGATTAAGCCTTGAAATGCTCTTTCCTTTAGGGGGTCGATCCTGGCTCCTCCATGGCCTGTGTTGGCTGTTTTGCTGATTCTTACCCATTTGTACACGTTATTTTCCTGGTTTCCCTTTCAGAATCAAAGTGAAGAAGGGACTACAGGTTCTGGCTGCTCGTCCCACCAAGCCTGAGGCTTGGACTGCAAAGCTAGACAAGTTCAAGGGGGCCAAACACTATACTGCTCTGGTTACTTGTCGTCGTTCTGTTGGCAGCTGGTTGGACTGGAGGTACGTGTGGACTACAGTAAACCGTCAGTGATCACACAGCAGACATGATAAGACCAAAAAACCTGTGTTGAACGATGCTAAAAATTAACCAGAAAAATAAAACAATTTACTAATGAGTAACAGAAGCTACGGTGGCTCAAGTGGTTAAGACGCTGAACTGCAGGCTGTGAAAGGTCAGTAGTTCAGCAGTTCAAGACCCGGGTGCCGCATGACGGAGTGAGCTCCCGTCTCTAGTTCCAGCTCCTGCCAACCTAGCAGTTCGAAAGCAAGAAATTGCAAGTAGATAAATAGGTACCGCTTCGGTCGGAAGGTAACAGCGTTCTGTGCGCCTTGGTGTTTAGTCATGCCGGCCACATGACCACGGAAACGTCTTCGGACAGCGCTGGCTATTCGGCCTTGAAACGGAGATGAGCACCGCAACCCTAGAGTCGGATTCGACTGGCTTTCGAGCAAGGGAGCCTTTACCTTTACCTTTAACAGGAATATTATTGGTAGTAGTACAACTAAGAATAATAAATGTGCAGTGTTTACAAAAATCCAACAGGGAAGTTTACAGTATTTCAGTAATCCGACCGGTAAATCTACAATGGACAGAATACTAAATATTCTGTACTAAGTACATTGTAGATTTACTGGTTGGATTATTGAAATACTGTAAACTTACCTGTTGGATTGGTGAAAACATTCCTATTTGATTGTTGAAAAAATTGTGGACTTACCTGTTAGATTTATGTAAACACTGCACATTTATTATTAGGTCACACCAGCAGCTGCATGTGGAGGAGTGGGGAATCAAACCCAGTTCTCCCAGATCAGAGTCTGCACTCCTAACCACTACACCAAGCTGGTGTAAAGATGCAGAAAAAAATGCAATAGGCAGAAGGTTGGAAAGGGAGGTGATGAAGAAGGAAATGAAAACCAGTTAGGATGAAGCAAAGGAGAAGGAGGAGGGGAAAGGCGAAGCGGGGCCTAGCCTCCAGAGGCAAGAGAAAAGCCTGGCTGCAAATAACTACAGGCTTACTTTCATTGTGCAAGTGACAAACAATAAAATAAGAGGACTGAAGCATCTTTTAGTGTCTCCAACTCATTTATGGAAGGGGGAGCTGTTCTGCAGCTGTTTGCTGGCATAATTTATTGTGCAGTTTGTATTGTTTTGAATAATTCTGTTTTAGCTGACCATGAGATATGTTGAACATGAAAGCTCTGCTTTCATCCACTGAAATTATTCCGTCACCCCTTTTTTATTCTGAGATTTAAGCAGGTGCTGCGTGCATACTCATTAGTGCTTGAATCTTGTCCTTTTAAAACAGATTCTCAGGAAACTGCATTCTGCAACACATTCTGTGTGTGTTTGTGTTGTGTGCATGTGTGCGTGCATTTTGTTTTTTGCTTATGTGGAATTTTGAATAAGGGATACTGGAGCTGAGCTGTAACAACATGAGCAGCCACTGAGAGCCTCTTGCCCTTCTTGATAAAGTAGAATGATCCTGAGGCAAAAATTCACTCTAACAAGACAACTGAAATGGAACCTCAGACCCTGACCGGTTAACCCAGTGATGAATGGATCAGACTTCTAGATGACAGAGGAGCTCCCATATTTAGAGATTTCCTTTATGGCTTCAAATTGTCTCTCCTTTAGTAGGACAGAAGATGTGAGCAGTACCTCCTTCCTTTTTTCTAGTTATTTTCGGGAAAGACATTTGACTGAATTTGATCTGTATGTTCCTCGTGTGCTTGGTCAACCAGTTGGATAGAAATATAGGAATTGCGTAGCTGACAAAGGGGCTAGTTCCTCATGTACTACAATCCAGCTAACCTTATGGTGTGCAAAGCTATTTCAGTGCAGACAGAGTTGCTCTTGGTGAGGAGACAAGGACGTGAATGATTGAGCTCATGGAAAGAATTGCATGGAGAATACCATTAGATACGGCTTAGATGCTGACACCCTGTGGATCGTAGTGATTAGATTCCTCATTATCATCGCTCCAGAGAATTTTATTACCTGTTCACCACCTTCTGGATTGTGTACACCCTTCGTTTAGTTTGTTATTTCCTATCTCCACTTAGGGCAGCAGATTTCCCAGAGTTCCTGTACGTGGATTTTGTAGTGGAGAATGGCACAGGGGGGCCAGCTGCTACACGTCCTGTGACCTGGCAAGTGGAATATCCTGGCCAGGATCCTGAGGCTGAGAAGGATAAGATGGTGTGGGAGATCCAAGTGTCAGAACGAGATGTGCGGGCCTTGGTTCCATTGGTAAAGGTAAGACCAGCCGTTCCATCCTTTTTCCTTCATGGGAAATTCCTGGGCATCCCGTATTGGTCATCGATCTTATGCTTTACTCCCTGCCTTCTTTAGGAGCAGGAGATTGTGAACACTGCACTCCTGACAGGAATTCCTCATTCAGTGCCCGTGAAACTGGTTGTGGTAGAAACTGGTGGAGCTGTGTCTGAGGTTACTGAGCAGATGGGCTGTGAGTCTTCTAACAAACAGGTCCTGCAGGTGAGAAACCAGTATACTTCACAAATGTCGTGTCTCTGGCCACATATTCAGGAATGAAATCCCTTCCCAAGCTTCCGGTGGGTGGATCGGCGATGGCGGTCGCTCTCCTCGGAGCTCGAGGAGGCGACTAGCACACCTTCGGCTTGGAGGGGTGCCACCTCAAGTGGCACTCCCACGGAACCCTCGCGGTGAGTTCCAAGCCAGAGGGCTTTTGAGGGTTAGCCTCTTCGATGGCTCGAAGCCATGGAATAGAGGCTTCCCTCTGCCCTGATGGTCCAGCCGATGGGTGACCTATGGATGTAAGCCAATCTGACCGGGACAAGCGGAGGAGATCAAGCGGAATAGCGATGGAAGAGAGCGAGGTCAGAAGTGACCAACAATGAACGTGAGTGATAGATAAACGGACTGTTTTTGTAAAGTGAAGCCCCACCCCACCCCCCGTGGAGAAAGCGGAGTGCAGGGAGGGACGCCTCCTGAGCAATTGAATAGATCAAAGAAGCGAAGGGGGGAAAGGGGAGAGAAACAGCGTTACATTTTGAGAGACTTACTTGAGCTTGGATAGAGAAACGGCGAGTCTTTCGAGCTCTGAAACAGAGGTGTTGAATTGTAAACAAAGAGAGAACATGGCGGTTCCACGAGGGAAAATAAAACCGAAAGGGAGCCAAAGTCCAAGATTGGAAGAGGGAGCAGACGTCATGAAGATGTTAGCGGATATGCTGAAACCGGTATTGGAGC